TAGCTCATGAATATTAATGAGCTCATGAATATTAATTAGCGACCGGCACTCAAATCAAGCTGGGCAGAACCCTGATAAGGTGTGTGAATTGCTGTCTCGTACCAACAATGTTTTTCAGTCATTAACTTGGTAAATGTTTCAGTGTAATTAATTTCTTTCTCATCTCTTCCAGATACCAGTTTGTTAACGAAGCCGCTGCCAAACAAAAAGGACAAATGTCAGCTCTGATGATGAAACTTGAGGAAAAGAAAAAGTACATTGGCACTGCACAGCAACGAATCTCAGAGAAACTGAAACAAATCAATGATTTAGAAACCAAAACTTCGCAAGAGATAAGACTATTCATGTTAACATTGATAAATGAAGTTAATCGACGAGCAAAAAAACTGCTTGAGGATCTGAAAGCAACCTGTGCGATTAAACGGCGACGACTTGATGTGCAGGCTCAGGAAGTGAAACAACTACACAAGCTAATAGACCATTGCACTGGATTCACAAATAACGCTTTGCATACCGGTAGCAATGCAGCATTACTTTATAGCAAGAAAGTCATACTCAGTCAACTCTTCAGTGTTCTACGCTTGCCCTGTATCAGGTCACCAATATTTGGTTTGGATGTTAAGTTTATGTTTGATATGGACAGCGCCAACAAACAAATCGGTAAATTTGGTGTTCTTATGATAAGCGATGCATCAGGACAAGGAAACGATCCACAGCATGTTGTCCAACAGTTGAACAATGCCGTGCAACATGCTCCTGGACAAGCTTTTCTTGGAAACCAACAAAGACCGCCTCAATACAGAGCACCATTTTCTCACCCACAACAACAACAACAACAACAAAAAATTAATCTTCAGCAGTTAGCAGAGCAAAGGAGACAGAGCAACTCTGTTGTGAAGAATGCTTTCAGCCAGCCTTATACCATGAATTCACAGAAAATTCTACATCAAAATTTACTACAAAGACACCACCAACAGCAGCAGCAACTGCAGCAGCAGCAGCTTCAGCAACAACAGCAGCAGCAACAACAACTACAGCAGCACCAGCAACATTCTCAGGGTATGAAGTTAGAACAATCTAGAGTCGGTGGTCAGTTGCGGCCTATAGCACCAAAACCGTTAGCTCCTCCATCAGCAACAATATCAAGAGCTCAACTTCAGCTAAGCACCTCCACAGCCCATGTTTCAAATAATGTTGGCAACCCAGTTATATCACAAGTTGTATCACTGGGGGGAAATCTCACTCGATTATCTCCAAGCACGCTACGCCAACTTAGCCCATCAGTTCGAGAAATGCAGGAAGCTGTTTTTTCAACACACACTCCAGAAAAAGCCAGCAGTGTTGTCAGCAGTGCGAGTGGAGATGGTAATACTACTTCTGGAACTCCACCCAAAATGCATGCGACTGTTCCCTTTTCTGGCACCCAGTACAAGCAAGATTCTGCACCGAAAATGAAAAATGAACCAAGCTCGCCCAATGAACGACCTTCGTGCAGCTTTGAAAAAATGTCTCAAAAAAGTACTACACCATCACCTGCTAGTGGATGTTCTGGTCAGCTGGACATGTCATCTGGATTTCATACAACCACTGATTCAAGGCCACCCAGTTCCACAAGCTCAGCGTGAGTAGTGTGTAGTGTAGCTACATTTTAGTATATTCTTCTCATCATGCCTGTTCATAGAATGAATGCTGTCAATGCATGATCTTAAAACTATTGCATTTGTCTTTCCTAGTCATTGCAACTTACCAAAAGATGTAGGTGAGGCTGAACTTTTTTCTTTCTATTATATTTGTAATAATTTAAATTTATCCGTGTTTTACAGTGAAGACAGAAGTTCAACTACTCCAGAGTCGAATGCTAGTTTCAGTGCTGTGAAAATCAAGCAAGAGAGACAGTCTAGAGATGATCCTGAATCTTCCTGTATGAATTACACTGCCAGACAAAACAGCCAACAGGAAGGTCTGAATAACACTCCATTTGAGTCAATTTCAGTAAGTTGATTCAGTTGTCACTGTGTTTATTTACATGATGCATTATATACATTAAGTAGTGCTTGTTTATAATATTCCCAGCTCACTATCATTATGACTTGTTCGTTTCCATCATAGGAACTTCACATACCCAATATTGCTCTGTCTTTTGACAACAATCGGGCAGACCACGACAAGAGTCTACCCGACCAAGATGTCCACAGTGAATGCAGTGAGAATTACGAACTGTCTCCAGCTCCAGGCTGTTCATCATCTGAGGTTTACTCACGCCAGGGAATACCGGTAGAGTTCAATGAGGACTACTGTGCTTGTTGTCAGAATGGTGGTGATCTTCTGTGTTGTGATACTTGTCCAAAGGTCTTCCATCTACAGTGTCACATTCCATCTCTCACTGCCACTCCAAAGTGAGTATACATTAATGAGATTTATAATAAAAATAATAAAAATAAAAAAATAAAATTATATCTTCTGTAAATCACTTTGTTTCATAAAAGAGCAATTATTTCATAATTCACAAGGCAGAAACATATCAGTGAACATTTTATTGGGATCTTTAGGATACCAAGTCACAATGATATAGTCATTTCGTTCCCATGAATAGCAGCTTTTTATGAAAACGAGGGAATTGCTGGTATAGATTTCGGTTTCTAATTCCCTTTCTATTTACCGTGCAGGGAAACCTGGATATGTGGACTTTGTCAAGACTTGTGTAAAGAGATCCAAGGTATCTCAGAAAATGATGAACATGGAAAAAGGAAAGCCTCCTCTGGTCTGAGTGAAGCCCATCAGAAAGTAAGCATAGCTCCTGGAATTCTGAATTGTTTTGTCAGTCAAGATTTTAATGAATACTGTTACTAAACAAGTGTATATATACACATGCATGTGCAATCAAACATGTGGCTGAAATGTATCTGTTGGCAGTTTGCATGTCATAGAGCAAATTTGGTTTTATTTCATTTAGTAAAAGTTAACAAATGTTAGCTTTGCATGGTATTTGCTGTATTGTTTGGTGATTTATTGATAAAATACTCAGCTTTTGTTTGTGTGTCTTTCTTCCAGATATGTGAAAGAATTTTATTGGAGCTGTTCTGTCATCCTGCCAGCCCACCATTCCATGAACCAGTTGACAGATCTGTAAGTGAACTTATATAAGGAGATGGTGTCATCATTGTTCAGTAGACAGTTGTGAGTTTGCTTGTTGCATGTCACTGATGTGTGCAGATTTAGTGATAGAAGGG